TCGAGGTCACCCATTTTAGAGCTCACTAGGGATGCTCTGAACCTACTAGACTTGTTTTTGATACATTCCCTCTTAAAGACTGAGAGGTCAGAAATAAAAGCAGTTGTTCCCAGGCCAGTCCCATTACATAAACAAGCAAACAGAGAGCCATACACAAACTCTGCAAGTCAAGTTCAAAGCTAAACCCTGTCCAGCACCAAAACTGACAATGTGGCACTGTCAAATGCAAGAGTAAACAAATCAGGCTGCAGYTTTTGGTCAATACTGAGACTACAAACCCCAGCATCAACACTCCACTGTGCCGCTCACATCTCCAACACKTTACAAGCTAATTCSTGATGGACAGATTGGGGGAATCTCYTGACAGCAAGTGAAGTGCCTGGGTTACACTGCAATAATCCAGGCCTCTGTCAGATTTTCCACARCTTCAGTATCTACATTTCAACCAGAGATGGAAGAACCCCACCTCCTCTTGTGCACAGGATCTGGATATCCAACTTCAAACTTAGCACCTGTATTTCTTATCCCAAYGGAAAGCACAGTCAGTGCCACCCCATACCCAGTATGCCAGCCAGAATTCACCAGATGCACAAAAACCTGCAGGCACTGAGAAGTCAACTAAAAACTGAAATATTAGAAGTGATCAAACCTTTCCACAAACATTTGGTGATCCACTGGACCAAAGAGACTGTGCCCTGTAAGCAGATGGTCAACAAATAGCCCCGAGCTTGTACAGGGCTACTCATCTCACACCAGTCAAGCTCAACAAGGTCACATTTCAGAGTTTGATCGTTTTACCCAAAATGAATAAGCTCCGTATGTGTGGGAGAGAAGGAAAGAAATAAACCATGCAGCTCAGATGGCATGAGGAGAGCACCCAACTGCACGATTAAGAAATCATAATGCTGTTTAGAAGGCCAATTAGCTGATTAAGGGCACAGGTACTACTCCAGCCTGGGCACTTTTTTGACCTCTGAGTGCTTGCTACTCTAACCTTGACTTTTCACTAGGTGCAATACAAGACAAACTAACTTCCAAGTCAGTTGACTTGCACAATATGCCAAGAGAGGGGATCTCAAAGCACATCTAATTTTTCTTTCTATAATACTTTTGCATGAAAGACATGCCCAGTGCTGTCAACCTGATGATGAGGCACACAATGATTCACAAAATTAGGAGAGGAGCATGGGCGCTACTGTTTCATTTAATTCTTAAATACATGTAAATATGTAATACATGTAAATATGTTCTTAAATTATGTTTATATACAAGAAAATAAATATGCAAAAATACATTGATGCACTGTTACAGATTACCACAAACTCTGATAAGACTCCATTCAAGCACCAGACTCATTCCCCTCACACCTGCAAAATCATTTAAGCACCCACAACGTTTGAAAAAAAAAAAGTCAGTTTGTCTTCAGCTTGATCAGTCTGTAAGCCAGGGAACTCTGATTCTCACCTGAACAGGTACCAGCAACAAGGCAAGAACCTCCTGTGGGTTAYAGTCTATACTTACATGAGCTGAAGTACCCATGAAACCACACAAGAACGTGAAACCGGTGATGATAAGCAAATGTTAAAAACTGTCCCCTTTCTCATCTCAACAGATAACCGTGCTCACTTGTTCTTTTTCTGTGCAAGAAATATGCAAAATTGCCACGAAGTGCCTAATGAATAACCAGAGGATTGAGGAGAGGGTCCTACYAGCATATTCTACTCTTTCCATCAGAGATTCCTATGCTAATAACCTTGTATACATCAACTTCCCCCTCCAGGAGCCAAGGATCACTTCCCCTGTTCTCCCAAAAGTCCTTATCAGACAGGAAGCAAAGGCAATGCCATAAAAAATGGACACTTCAGATCAGCCTAACAGGCTCTAACCAGGATGGCACAGGCTGTTCATCCATGCATCTCAAAATGATGGCGCTTAAAAAATTGGGAGGGTACAAAACACCCTCTAAGAAAAAACACCATTAGGATAATTCAAAACATTGACAAAAGTCTGATGCAATTGGCACAGCCACCCAATGTTATCTTGCTTTATCGAACCCACAGCTAAATCTTTTCACAACTTACCACTTTCCTTCCAGCTCCAAAACAAATCACTTACCTTAGGTCAGAGCTAAACTAACCCAGGCACAGAAAAATATTCAGTATCATTAAGAAAAAATTGTTATGTGGGATGAGGATAGACCTAATAGTCCTATTTAGGCTTACAACAACAACATGTAAGAACTGATGCACCTAATTCAAAAACACTTTGAAGGTCCTGACAGAATTTCTGTAAAAAGGAAATCAGTCTTATTTCAGTGATACATAACAAGGACACCATTATTTTTGTCCGTCAAAAGCTTGACCGTACACACAAGTGTTAGCATATCAGCTGCAGGTGACAGTTCACTACAATSAGACTTTCACAAGACACCACTGTATATTGTTTTGTGAGATAAGCTACTATGTTTACACAGCCTTAATGATTACAGAAACATTAAGAAAGACCAGRGACCCAAGCCCACACCATTCCTGCACCATTCAGTGCTTCGTTAGCAAAGGCCAATTTTGGAATGCAGCTATGGAAGGTCTGAATACCAAGTTAAGCCAGGTGAACCTGAAGGAAGGAAAAGCAGATGGAGCAAAAACAGGAAGACAGGTTGAAATGAGAAAGGCAGCACATACCAATGCATATTGCTTGGGGAGAGAAAAAAAAAAAAAAAAAGGGCTGATGCTGAGCTTGAAAATGAAGGAATATGGACTCTGGGGCCAGTTTAAATTCAGAGCAGTTCAAAAATGAAAAGGAATCGGTACCAWCTACCCTAATCCAACCCCTCCTTGSAAACCCCAGGGAAGATTGGTCCTGGTCCAGGTCTGCAGACCCATGAGCACACCTGCCTCGGCGGACTGCCAGCACTCCGGGTGTCCCCACCAGGGCACCCAGCGCACCCGGGCCCCCCCACACCCCTCCCCAGCTGGGGGACAGCACGGACGGGCCCCCAGTCCCACCAGCCTCCTCACCATGTTGGTTTCATGTTACCGCCGCGGTTTCCGAGCTCCTTCCTGCGCGCAGCTCCTGTGGAAGGGAAGGAAGGGCACAAAGGGAGGGGACGCTCGCTYTGCCCGCTGGGCACGGCCCTACCCCGGCACCGCGCTGCCCAACCCGGGGAACCCCGCCCCAGCCGTGCCCCAGGCGGGMCCCGCAGGGTAAAGCGCCCGGGTCTCACCCACGCACACACGGGGACGTGCTGTCCCCAGCCCCTCCTCACAGAGCCGCGCAMAGACCCCTCCACTACGGAGCCATCCCGGTGCTCGCTGCCCCCTCACCCCGGCTGCTCACAGGGCTATGCCTGTGTGGCCCCTCTCCCTTCACGGGGCCGCACCCGGGTCTCCCCTCATGGCAGCGCGCCCAACTCAGCCCCCCGCCCGTCAGCTTGGCCAGTCCCCGCCCACGGTGGCTCACCGGGGCCGGCGCTGCCTGGCCGGCCGGGACACCGGGACACGGAGCCCCAGCGCCGCCGCTCCCCGACGGCCGAATCAACAACAAGATGGCGGCACCCGAGCGGGCGGAGCCCGGCGCTGGCCGTCATAGCAACCGCGCCGTCCAAAGCCCGCCCCTCCGCCGCTCGTGCCAATCCGCACCCAAACCCCGCCCCGCGGGGCACCACCCGGAACGCTGATAGGATAAACTTAGTGTCACTCAAGCCCAGAGCCGCCMCGCCCTTTTCCGAGCGCGCACGGCAGCGCACGTTAAGCACACGTGACGCCGGCCTGTGCCCCGCCTRCTCCCGTGCAGCGCCGTCTCATTGGCTGTCTGTGGAGAAGGAGGGGCCCACGGCCAATGGGCGCGGCCCTCGCGGGTGGGCGTGCCCCGCCGGGCCGCGCTCAGAACTCCCCCCTCAGAGCCCGCCCCCGACTCTACGACCCTGCTCCCTGCTGGTCTGCGTTCAGAGCTCCCCTTTCCGAGCCCGCTCCCGACCGGTCTGCGCTCAGAGTTTCCCTTTCCGAGCCCACCCCCGGCCGGTCTGCTCTCGGCGCTCCCCGCTACGAACCCATACCCGGCCGTCCCGCGGTCTCCRGGCATGCTTAAAGCTCCCCGCCCCGAGCTCCCGGGGCCGCTCCACGCCCCGCTCCAGCCGCTGCTCCGAGCCGTACCGACCGCCGCCCCGACTCCACCGGCTGCCTCTCCGAGCGGCGTCTCGCCAATAGGACACGCTCACGCATCACTCCGGTACAATAAAGGGTTTAATTACCGAATGGTCACGGTTCCCGTGGGTTCAGAACAAAAGGGACCCTCAGGCAGAGTCACACAGGTGACCCCTCTCACTGTGAAATTTCACGGCTGGCCCCTGTCCTCCTTCCCTCCCCTTAGTCACCTACTCCCCAAATTAGTCTCTTCCCCCTCATCCCGCCAGCGCTTCATTTCCCCGAGAGCTGCCAGGGAGGCGTCCCGTGGAGCGCTCCTTTGAAATTCAAATACCCGCTTTCCCATCTCCTGCTGACTGACACCTTCAAAGCCTCCCGCCACTCGCAGCTCCTCCTGCCGCGTCCCGTTCACCTGCGCCCACGCTRATTCACTTTTCCTCCCAATTATCAACCGATCCCCTCTGCCGACCAGCTGCTCATCCCACCAGTTTGCCCTTGCGAGCGCTGGAGCAAAGCAGAGCTTGAGGGGGACATGGAACTCCGGGCAAAAGTTTCTCAGAATTTCCCGTGGCTGAGTTTTCTTGCCCCAGATAACCTCCTTGCGGAGGACTGCCCCGGCTGGGTCACATCCAGAGGCTACAGAGATGCTTCTGTGACGGAAGCAGACCTGGCCAAAGCGCTCCTAATATCTTTTCCAGTTTCAAGCCCCCTGCCATCCTTGTCCTGGGGCACGGCACTCGCATCGCTGACGAGATGACGCTAATGACCACCACAGCAGGACATCTACCAGTGCCACTGCCCAGCAACCGGACTCCCTAAGGTAATCACAGCAGTGTGTGCAATCTCTAMCACCATTTATTAGGTCTGCACTGGCTGAGGTGGCTCCGGATCTGGCTGCATCCCATGGGCAGCCGGTTTGGCCACAAAGGATGGCTCTCCTCCCTGGAGAACACACCGGGTGTCCGCCAGCTCCCAGTGTGCATCCCAGCTCTGCCCACATAGAGCTGCGGATCACAAAGAGCCCCTCATCAAGTCAAGCCTTTCAGATCCAGCGCCGAGCCCYGGTCACGCTGTTGAAGAGATAATCCCTGCCGGTGCCTGAGATGGAGGCAGCACTCAGCCACTGCCCCGCGGGCAGGGTGCCCATCTCTCACTCTGCCCTGGGTGACACAACCCGAGGCTGCTGTTGGGGCTGTTGGGGCTGCGGGTCTGGGCACTCACGTGGGTCCTGAGCACGGCCATCAAACTGCCCCTGTGCAGGAGAGACAGGAGAGGGTGCTGAGGGCCCCAGGGCTCCTCCTGCTTTCCCAATAGACCATCCACGCTTGCTGCCATGGCACACACTTACAGAGGTGCTGCCGTGTGGGAGTCCCTGCTCCTCCTTGTCCTTGCTGTGCTCAACCACATCCCAGGAGCTGCAGAAGGAAGGAGGCAAGCGGACACAGCATGCTGTCAGTGATTGTCTGAACCCTTAAAGATGCTGCTGGGAGCGAGTGGCCAGCCAGGCTTTGCCCTGCCAGCTGTGCCCAGTCGAGCCCATCATCCACCTACCTGATTGTCCCCTGGCACAGAAGGGGATTGTGGCAAGGCCATGCTCCCCCAAGCACCATCACCTTTCACCAGTGCCTAAGAGCACCAAGCAGGTCTGYCACCACATCCACTGGTTTCCCCAAGTGCTGGTATACACCACTCCTGTGCTCGGAGGATGCTGTGCTGGGAGACCTGCAGCCCCGGGTCTCCCTGCTGCCAGGGCCACCTGCAGGGCATGAGCCCGAGACTTCTCCCTTGCAGGGTCACTACAGCCCCAGTTCCACCAAGCACTGTGTCCCCAGCCTCACCAATGAACCTGGATCCAGCTGTGCATCACCTCGGGGCAGTTATGCCACTGGAGGTGGTTGTTAGCCTGCCCTGGGGCTTGCATGGCTCCTCCTTGCTGTGCAGACACTTCGCGCAGACTGGTCTAGCGTCTCCTCAGGCTCTCTCGTCTGTCACTTGTCACCATCGCTGATCCTCCGCGGGGRGTGTGCTTGCTCACCTCCTCCCTGGGAGCTTTCCCTGACAAATGGGGCTCATCTCTGCCCAACAGGGGCTTTCCTGGTGAGTGACTTCAGCCCTCCTGCCGGGATCCAGCCTTGCAGCAGGCATGGGCACTATCACTGTGACACCCYACCCTGTCCACTGCAGAGTTTGTGCCCCAGCCTGGCCACCGACATCACTGTTTACTGGCCAAATTGCTCTCTCTGTTCCCAWAGCCCCCATCAGGGCTGTGCCCTAGCTCTGGGCAGTGATGGCTCCCTGGCACAGCAACCCACAGCTGAATGCACGGTGTATTAAACATCCCCTGTGTGCTGTATCTCCCTGGCTACCTGCAAGGACAACACAACAGCAAATGCAACCACCCTGGCSGTATAGCACTCACCTCTTGCCCAGGAACAGCTTGCCAGGGGCTCGGTTGCTGTGGGAGGAGCAGAAGGCAGCCGTGAACCCCTACTCGTGCTCACTGTTCCATGCTGTGCAGCAGGCTGGGGCTCACCTGCACAGCAGGTTTCGGGCTGTGCAGCCCAGGGTGGCCAGCAGCAGCACACCAGAGATGGTCAGCACAGCCACAAACCAGGCTGGTGGCTGCCACACCGCCTCTGTCCGCGTGACAACCAGCGGCTCCTTCTGCAGTGTCTGTGGAGGCAGTGGGGTGAGGGAGTACATGGGAGGCTTGATGGACCCTGGAGCCTGGTCAGGGGGCTCTGCTCACCGTGTGTTGGGCGGTGGTGCTGGGTGGCACTGGGGTGCTCCAGGGTGTGACATGCACCACCAGTGCCACCAGGGTGCTGCGACGGCGAGCACCAGAGCCACCCCACACCTCCACCAGCAGGACAAAGGTGCGGGGCTCGGCCCGGTCATTGGCCAGGTAGACAAGGGTGCTCCCTTCCAGCCGAAATCGCCCATCCTCGTTGCCTGGAGAGGGGGTGCTCAGTGCCCTGCCATGGCAAGGGCTGTTTTGTGCCATGGCTTGGCCACTCCTCACCTCCAACAATGGTGTGTGTCAGCCCAGCAGTGTCGGGGCTGCTGTGGCACACCAGGCGGGTGACAGGCTGGCGGCTGCCCGGGGGCCCAGCTGTGATCCACAGCTCCTGCACCTCGGGGATGCACACTGGCAGCTGGTCCGGCACGGCCTGCCAGGAGCAGGGAGAAGCTGTAGGGCACCCACAGTGCTCACACCCACCACAGCTCACCCAACGGGCTGCCCTCACACCTGCAGGCGCACGGACACGTCACACAGGCTGCTCTGCCTCCGACTTAGGTCCAGATCATTGTGGGTGTCTGTCAGCCGCACCAGCAGCCTGTAGCTCTTCTGCTGCGGGGAGCCCAGGGGTCCCACCACACGGATCTCACCTGTGGGGTGGCGTGAGCTGCTGGGAACTGGCCGGTGCCATGGGGTGTGGTGGGGGCTGGAGAAGGGGCTGGGTGCTCACCAGTGCGCCTGTCAATGGAGAAGGGCTGTGCAGGGCCAGACTCCCCCTCCAGGCTGTACTCAAGGCTGTCCAGTGGGTAGTCACGGTCAGTACCAGCCACRCGCCCCACGATGCTGCCAAAAGCAGCCGTCTCTGGCACAGTGAAGGTGGCACTGCTGGGGCACGCCGGTCTGAATTCATTGACAGGTGTCACCGTCACAAGCACAGGCACACGGGCTGTGTGGCACACAGCAACTCAGCGATACTGGCACCATCCCACAGCCTGCATCGGGCTYGTGACATAGGGACAGAGGTACAGCCCTGGGGGGCCATCTCTGGAGCAGCAGGGGAGGAATATTTCCTCTGTGATCTGCTGATTTTGGGACTGGAAAAGGGCTTTTCCCACCCCAGGGACACAAACACTCACTGCTCTGTAGGGGCTGCCCTCCCACTGTCACCACAATGGTGGCTGTGAACTGGAAGCCCATGGCAGCCACGGCCTCTGAGTCATAGTCCAGGGTAGTGTTGACCTGCCAAGCCAGGAGGGAAGTGTCAGGCAGAACCAAGGTGCTCTGCAAAGCTGGGATGTCCTGCAAAGCCAGAGTATSCTGCCAAAGTGGGGTGTCCCACAAAGCTGTGATGCCAGGGGAGCAGGAGGGAGCAAGTGAGAACAAGCAGGCCTTGAGGAGCAGGGAACCCCGACGARCCTGGCATGACACCACATGTCACAGGGTCCCACTTGTCCTCCTGGGCTCCTCAGGGTCTGTGCTTGCTGCCCACCTGGGCACTGCCCATGGCTCCACTCACCTTCAGCTGTGGCCCTTCCATGCAGAAGCGGGAGCGGGAGAAGGGAGGCCCCTCGAGGGCATAGTGCAGACACCCATCAGTGCCAGCAGAGTCGGCGCATCTCAATGTCACCAAGGTGCTGCCGGGGGACACCGTCTCGGATACCTGGGACCTGYGGCAGGGCAGCCAGCAGCTCAGCCTCTGCCTGTGTCCTGGGTGCARCAGAGAGTCCCATTCACCCCACTCCCTCCTTGAACCGTACACAAAGATGGCTGGGACACATCTTGGTGCCAAACGGTCCGTCCCCTGCACGGTGATGTTGACCGTGGCAGTGGCGTGGTCATTGGGGTGCAGCGCGTTGTAAGCCCGGATGAGGAGGTGGGCACGGACCAGCTCCAGCCGGCGGGTGCTGCGGATCTCACCTGTCACTGCAGGAGGAGGCATGGCCTCGCACTGGGAACAGGGACAGGGACAGGGTGTTCCCAGGGACACCCTCCTTACCCTCATTGATGGTGAAAWGCGCAGGTGCCACAGGAGCGAGGATGGCATAGCGGACATTGTCACCTCTGGCATGGACCTGTGTGACCGCCTCCCAGGGGCGAATGCCTTCTGTCACCATCACAGCCTGGTGGGGCTCACTGCAGGTAAGGTGGGCAATATGGCACGGCCCGGTGCCACCAGCAAGCACCCTTCACCTGGCCCAACCCCACTCACAGGAAGGTGACACGAGGACGGTGTGATGGCATCACTTCCACCCTTACAGCCCCGCTACARTTGTGCCCATGGCGGTCCATCACCTCAATCTCCAGCCTGAACGTCTGTGGGGCAGCATAAAGGCAGCTGTGGGACAGCCCCAAGTGAAACCAATGACAGGGATGGAGATAGGGATAGGGATAAGGATAGTAATAGGTACAGGGACAGGAATAGCAGTGGGATGGGAACAGGGACAGAGAGGAARGAGAAGGGGCAAGGGATGAGAATGGGGTTTGTAATACGAACAGAGGTGTGAAGTGGGGTGAAGATGGAGATGAGTATGAGCTGGAGACTRGAATGGACAGGAATAGGGATGAGGATAGGGATGAGGATAGGGACAAGGCTTGACATGCAGAAGGGGACAGGGACAGGGCTGGAGGACTCCAAGGTTCAGGGGGAGGCAGGAGCCTGATGGGAGGATCAGGATATGGAGTGGCAGTGCCAGTGAGGGGCTAAGCCCCAGTGGACTGAGAAGTGGCTGTGACCAGCCCGAGGCTGCTGGTGCCCACCTGGGTGTCCTTGCTAGGGTCAAAACCATTGTCAGGCGCCAGCACAAGGCCCYGGTGGGTGAGCTTGAGTGGTGTGTYGTGGTTTCGGAGCCTGAACTGCAGAGAAGAGGGTGATGGGAACCCCTGTCCCACTCCTCCACACGTGAGGGTCTGCTGTTTCCAAGGCTGCTCCCTTCTGTGGGGTGTGGGCCCCCGGGGAGCTGCCACTCACCGTCAGCCCACCCAGTGGCTGCGGCAGCACCGCGTACAGGGGTGTCCGGGGAGCCACATCTGCCCGCACCTGCACCACATCACCCTCTGGAGCACAGCATGGCTGTGGGAGCTTGGTGCCCGCTGGCACCCACAGCCCCCACTGCCCTGTGCCCCTGGCTCCTACCTGCGCTGGCAAASGGGGTGTCACAGCGCAGCACCTGCCCTGCTGTCACCCGGACAAAGAGCCGCTGTTCCACCTSATCCTCACCAGGACAAGCAGCCCGCAGGATCAGTGTGTACTGGTTCACCTGGTGGGCATCGAGCTCCGCACCAGCACGCAGTGTCACCTGCCGAAGGGRACATGTCACTCAGCAGGTGCCTGTGGGCTCCTGTCCCACTCCCTGTTCCCCAACCGCACCTCTGCCCGGAACATGGTGGCATCTGTGGGGTCAGAGTTGATGGCGAYGGGGTTGAAGGGGTGGTCGGGCTCAATGCTGTCCAGGGTGACATTGGGGCTGCCACTTGAGTTGCTGCAGGACACGGTCACATTGGCCACGCGGGTGCCTGGCACTGTGTCCTCACTCAGGGCCACCACGCGTGGCAAGTCAGGTAGGACTGGTGGGAGACCCCAGGGACCACTGATGGCTTGTCCAGCTGTGCTTATGGAGCTCTGCTCCTGCACCCAAGCACTAATGCAGGTACAGGTCTGCCTGCAGGCACAGCAGGGCCCAGGGCAGCCTACTCTTACCTGTTGCTCTGACGAAAGTCCCTGCAAAGAGGAGAGTGTCACCCCAGCCTGCCARGTGTGCCCCAGTAACTCCCTGGGGAGCCTCAGAATTCCCTCTGTGATGCTCTGAAGAAGCCCCAGTGGTGTCTGGGTATGCCAGTGATGCCCTTAACATGCCCCACTAACACTGTGGCAATGCTGAGGACACCTTGAGGATACCCTGGTAATGCCCTGAGGACGGCTCCAATGATGCCCCCTCCCTGCCTCAACCTAGCCATGCTGCTGCCAATTCCTCTGCCCATCCTGGGGTCAGCCCCAGGCACGTGTGGGCAACTAAGTACAGCCTTTCCCCTGTCCCCCTCCTCTCAGTCATCCACCGAGGGTTTRCCCCTAACACTGTGACCTTGAAGCGCCTACCTGGGGCATAGAGGCTGATGAGGAGGAAGGTGAGGTGTCCGTGCATGCCCATGGCTCGCTGGGTGTTTGGGACAAGCTGCAGCGGGTTGCCAAGGGTGCTGGGCACCACCCCRGCCCGGCGTCACGCCGTCCATCCCCACCCGCTGTGGCCGGCCCGGCCAGGGGAGGGACAAGCCACGGCCTCGGTGCCCCCAGTTCTGCAAGCCGCCGCTCCCAGCCCCTTGCCACTCGCAGCTCCGTGGGGTTTGGCTRTCACCCCACGCAGCCTCACCACGCAGCACGCTCGGGAACCGGGAAAATTAGCTGGGAGGTTAATTTTTGGCCTTGTTCTCGTTCATTTGCAAACCAGCGCCTCTTCACCCGGGATCCCCATTAAGCGCTATTAGTTCCCAATTAACGGGCGCTGCGGCCAGGGTCACTCTTCCCTTCCCTCCTCCAGCGCCCAGCCTGGCTCTGGCAGCCCGGTGGCGGGGGGTGCCGGCGGCGGGTGCCTCCACGGGGACCCTGTACCGGGGCTGTCCTGCCTCCCGTCGGGGCTCCGGGACCCCTGGTGCCCGCGGTGCTGAGGGCCGGGACACGAATCCCGCCCGCCTCGGCGGTGCCCGGGTGGTGCCCGGCGCGGGGCCCCGGGGCGGCGGGGAGGGGTCCGTGGGCGGGGCGGGGCCCCGGGGCGGCGGTGCCGGTGCGGGATGGGCTCACGTTACGGCGGCCCCATTGGCCGGGGCGCGGCGGGGCGGGGCCGCCGGGCAGCGCCGGGAGGCGGCAGGAACGGCCGGGCGCTCTGTCCGCTGGTGCTGCTGCTGCTCCGCCACCGGCACCAGCGGCACTGGGAGCGGGGCCGGGAGCGGCGCCGGCGGAGCAGGACCGGGCATGCACAACGCCCGCCCGGACGAGCTCGGCGCCGAGCGGGTGAGTGCCGCCGCGGGCATCGGGAGGGAGCGGGACGGGATGGGACTGCCGTGCCCGCGCCACGGACTGCTGACGTCCGGGCGGTGCCGGTGACATCAGGGCCGTGACATTACACGCGAGGCCAAGGCGGCTCGGGGGACGTGGGCGTCCGGTGGGACACTGGTGGTGTGGGGACACGGGTGGGTAGCCGCCACAGTGTCCAACTGTCAGGGTGCCCCGTCCCCCCGCAGCTGCCACCCTGCCACACACCTGGGCTGCCCCGAGGGACGGCGGTGACAGGGTGGCCCTTCGGCTTTCCTGGGCTTGCCACATGCTTACCCAGCACCCCATAACCGGCTGTCCCAGTGTTCCCGGCCAGCGACGGGACTGGGCGGCTCGGAGCGGTGGCACATTGCCACTAGGGCTGGATGAGAGGGTCCGAGCCACCGGGGAGGGGAACAGGGACTGGGCCGGGGACGTGGACAGGGACAAGGACAGTCCTGCCAGCAGCTCTGTCAGGGCYAGCCAGAGGGGACAGAATTATCAGTCCGGGAAGCAATCCCTCCTGCACACTCAGCTTCCCGCGACTCCAGCGCGGAAAGGAAAGCGGACGTAACACCCTGCTTTTGGGTTCAGACAATAGGAATTCAAGAGCGAGGAGCGGCCCGGCTGCAGGAGCCAGGAGTCCCTTCCAGCGCCCGCCCGGCCGTGCTCTGTTCAGCCCTGGCTGCCCCGGCGTTTTGGGGGGCCCGGGCCTTGGGCGCAGGCCTGGCTGCACCCTGACGTCACTTGGGGTGTCCCCAGCTTAAGGGCACAGGGTGAGTGGGTGGCCCCACCAACGCACGGGGGGAGAGCCCCACCCCAGCACCCGCGGGTGCCCGGGGGCTGCCGCTGGCCCCGTGCCACCAAGTGGGGCTCTACCGGAGGGGTGTCCCGGCTGCCTCTCCACCGGAGCGGGGGCACTCGAGGGGCTGTCGGGGGGGTGGTGGAGCGCCCGCTCCTACGTGCCGCGGCCCTCTGTCATTTCCCGCAGGCACGGCCGGGGCTGGGTGCCTGCTTGCTCACCCGACAAGCCGCTGCACGCCGGCCGGCTCCGCGCAGGAGCCGCAGGAAAGCGGGGCCCGGGGCTGCAGGCAAGCCGGGACCTGCGCCCCGCTCTCCGCACCCTGCCGCACGCCCATCGCGCCAGCGAAGCCCCCCTCGAACCGCGGCGGGGGGGCGCGGGGTGCCGGGGAGGGTGGGATGGGGGAATCGCGGCGCTGGCAGGGGACAGTGGGGACAACCGTGCTGACGTGCCCTTTTCCTCCAGTGGTGCCGGCGGGAGGCAGGGCCGACGTCGCGGGCACACATGCACGGCACGCGGCAGGCACCGCAGCACCCCGGAAGGGCGCCGGGGCCGGTCCCCCGTGTCCCGCGTCCCGGCTCGGCGGCGGACTCGGCCTGCAGCCTGGATCCGGGCGGCGAGGAGGAGGAAGGGGGGGGCCCGGCCGCCCGCTCCCCCCCGGCCAGCGAGCGCAGCCTGGAGTTCGACTCGGGCTACTCGGAGGCGTCGGGGGGCACGTGGAGGGAAGAGGAGGTGCCCGTGCGGCGCCGGCATCTGCTGCCCTGCCAACGGGCACACCGGCTCTCCGCCGGCCCCGCCAACCCGCCGCCCGTCCCCGCCCGCCGCGTCCGCCCCAAATCCACCTCGGACGCCTGCCTGGAGCAGTGGCGGGCGCTGGAGCCCGCCGACACGCAGGACTGGACCGTAGCACTGCTGTCGCAGAGCCGGAACCGGCAGCCCCTCGTGCTGGGCGACAATTGCTTCGCCGACCTGGTGGAGAACTGGATGGACCTGCCCGAGGTGGGCGCCGAACCGCGCCGCCGAGCCCCTGCCGAGCCCTCCCGCCGGCTCGCCAAGCCCCCCGCCTTCCTGCTCAGCCTCTCGGGGAACGTTCGCCGTAAGCTGGCTAACATGGCCCGGCCCCGGGGAGCCGACGGTGCCCGGCCGGGGGCCCGCGATGGCACCAAGCGTTTCTCCTGTCCGCTGGGGCTGGGGGGACAGCCCAAGGGCGCCTGCTTCCACCAGTCGCACAGCAACATCGCCCAGCTGGCCACGGACTTCCACCGCTTCACTGCCCTGATGAACAGCCGCAGCCGCCAGCCCATCATCTGTAACGACGTTATCGGCTACATTTAGCCCCGCTGCTGCCGTCTGCACCCCCACCATGTAAATAAACCCCTGTTTTGTATGGTCTGGGTGCAGCAGACTTTATCAAAGGGGGTTCCTGTGCCCTGACTCTGCAGGGGGTTTGTGCAACGAGGGCCAATGCAGCCTGCAGCTTTTATTTCATGGGGTGCTGGCTCTTGGCTCAGCGTAGGGAACACAGGAGAGGGGGACCGGTATCWTCAGCCTCAGCATCCTCTCCCTCACACACGTACAGCAGCTCCAGGTCCTGCTGCAGCGGCATTACTGCATCCTCCAAGCTCTCCAATAACCTGGGAGAAAGGGAAAGGGGGGGGGGGTATCAGATTGTTCCCCAAGGCTGGCTGGCTGCCCCAGGGGTGTCGGGCCCCTCAGGGGTGTCCGGCCAGGCTGGTGGGATGCAGGGGCCAGCAGCAAGGGGCCGGGCAGGGGTCCCGCCACGGGAAGTGCTGCCGGCAGGATGTTTATCCAGCAGCTGGCTGGGAGTTGCATTGCAGCTGGAGTGGCTCAGGTTGGAGGCAGTGGGGGCTGGAAGCCCCCCTCCAGGGCAGGATTGGGCCCTGGAGCCAGGGACCTACCTCTGTGCCTGTTGCCGGGCTCGTGTCTCTTCATCCGCCTTACTGTCATAGAGCACAGTGTCACCACACAGGAGCATAGTCACGGTCCAGCCGTGTGTCCTCTGCAAGAGATGAGTGTGAGGACCTGGCCCTGCATCCCCCAGGGTGACCTGGCTGAGTACTGCCAGTGCTGGGCTCACCTGCAGCCAGTCCAGCACCTCCTGCACCGTCTTTGCCTGCCCGCCTGCRCCGACTGCCTTCATCTCCAGCCGGTCCCAGCAGCTCCACTCCCGCCCGCCGTACTGCCAGGGGGTAGCAGCCAGCACTGGCAYCCCAAATCCTGGCTGCCCAGCCCCCGGGGGCAAGGACTGGTGCAGCACAAGGGCTGGGGGACATCAGAGCAGTCAGAGGGCAGGGTGGTGGGGGCACTATGGTGCTCTAGGGGCACTGGGGGACACAACTGTCCCCCCCACACTGCTGGGGAGGGGTCGGTGTCAGTGTGGGGCCGGCACTGCCCCTAGCCCCGGGCCAGGACAGGCGCACAAAAGGCCATTGAAGCGCTGCCCAGCCCCACACAATCACCCCTTCTCATGCCCGCGGCCCTACGACCCCTGGTCCGGCCCAAGGAGGCCAGCGTGGCGCCAAGCCCAGGGCCAAGCACCGGACGCGGCCCCGAGCCGTCTGGCAGGGCTACCCGGCCATCTGCCCTCGCTGCAGGCAGCRCCAGCACTGCCCGCCTGGCCCTGGCCCCACTCGGGAGGGGTGTTCACACCTGGTCACTCTCCCTCCTGCTTTCTGCTGCCTTCTCACCTCCGCCTTCTGCTGCCTGCACTTATCCCACTGGGGGAGGGAAGGGCTTAACCCCATCCTCACCAGGGCAGCAACTGCTTGACACAGAGGGAACGCCATGGCCTGACCCCCCACCACCAAAGCACATCCCTCTGGCCCTGGGAAGCATATCCCTCTGGACAAGGCTGGCCCCCAATGCAGGCTCCCTGGGACCCGGGGGAACAGAGATCATGCCAAGCAGGCCTTGGGGACATGTGTTCCCACCATAGCCAAGCAGCTGGGTGTGAAATGTCACACMGGGTGTCCTCGCCTTGGGACATGGAGGCGCTCTGTGCTGCTGTGGGACCTGATGGCATGGCCAGACCCAGCAGCATCCTCCATCCAGGGATGGTGCCAACCCAGGGGCACTAAAGCCAGGATGGCACAGGGCTGGCCCATGGGGCTTGAGGGGGCCGTGGGGCAGCCATCAGCCCGAAGTGGTGCTTGAGCCGGCACAAGGCGGTGGAGTCGCCTCCCTCCCCCTCTTCCTGCCCCCGGCCCTGGGCCCCCCGGGCCAATCTGGTTCCAATCGGCGCTTCCTGCCGTGCCGGAAGGGCTGCCTCGCACGCCATAAACCCCCAGACAAAGGGGCCTCTATAGCCCAGACGGTCCCAATCTGGGTTTGCCCCCGCCCCCGCTCTCCCTCCCTGGTTCCCCACCGCCGGGACCCCCAGCCCCGCTCCCCCGGGCGGCCCTTCCCGGCCCGGTGCCAGCTGCTCTCTGGCTGCCGCAGCTGGTTTCCATAAGCCAGATGTGTGCGGCTGCAGCGGCCTCCCGCCCCTGGATGTGGGGCTCGGCCTGGGGCCCGCCATGGGGCAGCGGGGCTGCCTCAGCCCCATGGGCACCCCAAAGCATCACAGTTGGRCCTGAAGCTGGGCAAGTGGGACAACAGCAGTGTCTCAGTGCTGGGGGGCACTCAGGGGAAGGAGCTGGTTCCTCACTGCCTGGCAGTGTTCCCAACCCAATGCAGCATCCAGATCCATTTCTGGAGTGCAGTGGCCAGGGCTGCCCTTGCTGCATGGCCACCTCCTTTCTCCTGGGTCCTCCTGACACTGTCCCACAGCAGATGCCACTGTCCCCCTGGGTGTCCCCCACCTGCTCTGTCCCAGGGAAGAAGGTCCTACCCGGTAGGTGGGGGGTGGCAGGGGCTGAACACGGTCCAGCAGGCAGTTGGACAAGCTGATGTTGCTGTTGCGGTAGCAGCTGAGGTCCTGGCACCCCCACACCAGCTTGTAGAGCTCCAGGCAYGCCAGCCCAGCCACGGCCGCCGTGGTGGTGATGATGGCAGGCACAATCCGCCCAGCAATGCGCTTGCTCTGAGGACACGAGGGGCATCATCAGCTGCCTCACACACGACCRGGACTCATGACCCCACAGGCTGCCCCTCTCACCGTCAGCCTGTCGGCAGGGGGGATGCCATAGTTCTCTGCACGCAGGTTGGATGCTGCCGTGATAAAGTCTATGTGGATATCGTTATCCTGTGGGGAAGAGTGCGGGGACATTTGCATCCCATGGGTACATCAAACCCCCCGGCTGAGCAGGGCCACCACCTGGCTYGGGTACCTTGTCAAAGTGGATGGGCTCCATCAGGGGTGCTTGTGCCTCCTCACCCCCCACCAGCTCCTGTCTCCACTGCAGCAGGTCCTGGGTAAGCTCTGCCAGCTGCTTGTGATCTGGGGGCACAGGCACCACTGGGATGATACCCCTGCACTGTGGCACTGMAGGGGTACCCCTGCCTCGGTCCAGATCCTCCTGGGTGCTGGAGCAGGAATGAGAAGCCACAGCCTCACCACCACCAGGCTGGATCCGGGAACACGCCTGGGGACCTCAGGTAACCTCACCTGTGGGGACCTGTGCCTCTTCCGTGGGTTCCTCTGTGAGAGGGATCTGGAGCCCTTCCTGGCTTGCAAAGGGTGGCAGGACCACATCGCGGAGGATGGTCTGGACAGCCACCCGGTCACTGCATGGTGGTACCCTGTGTGCTCGAGCAAAGAGGTGGGCAGCAGCCAGGACATAGTCCAGGTGGGTGTCCTGCGAGGCACAATGGGAGTGGCCATGGGGTRCCCTGCTGGGGTGGTCCCACACAGCCAGGGGCTGTCAGTACTGCCCACTGCCTGGCTTTGTCCCAAAGTGGAGGTGGAGGAGCCTCTCCTCCTCCTTCTCTGGCCACAGAGCACGTACATACTGTCCCCAGCAGTGCACTGCCCTTGCTGACTGGGGACAGGGACAGACCCAGGCCAGGACCTGGCAGCCCTGCACAAGCTGTGACACATGGGGCACGACTGCAGTTCAGCACTCCCTGTAGCCCCAGCACAGGCTTGGCTCTCCCTCTGCCCACACCATTCCCGTGTGAGACCCTSCACTCACATTGTCAGGGTTGAATGTCAGTGGATGGGGACAGCTCCTGTCCCCTGTCCAGAAGGGGACACCGGGGCTGGYTTCCTGGCACAGGGAGAGAAGAGTCAGGCCCAGGGATGCATACCCCAGGCTGCAGCGAGGCAGTCGGTGGAGGAAAGAGGGTRCAGGGGGTGCCAGCCCGGTGGGGGCTGGGCTCACATGCTCCGGGGGGTAGGTGTGCAGCAGCTGGGCGATGAGATCGTGGTATTGGCTCTGCCAGCGCCGGCGTGCCCAGCGCACACAGTCCCGCCAGTCCCGCGGCCGCTCCCGCAGGCTGTCCCGCACCTGCTCCAGGACCTTCCCCGATGGCAGCTGCTCCAGGAAAGCTGGATCCCTGCAAAACCAGGCACTGCTGATGCTGGCCCTAGAGCGATCCTGTGAGACGCCTCAGTGGGATGTGGCTGTCTGGCACTCCCTCTCCATTCCCAGCAGTGCCCTGGTGAGCTGGAAGCTCCTCTCCCAGCATCACTCCCCTCGAAGCCCACTCACTCCATGAACCGGTTGACTTGTTCTGCAGGCAGCTGGAAAAGCCCCTCAAACTCATCACGGGCCCACTGTAGAGGAGAAATGGGTGTTGAGCACTGGAACCTCCCCTTTATGCCCCCAAGCCCAGTGGGAGGGGGAGGCTCTGGCAGGGCCAGCAGCAGCACTCAGGCTGCCAGCAGGAAGCAGCTGGGGCCATATCCTGCCCACGGCCCTCCACTGGAGGGGAAATGGGGAAGGAAGACAAAGGTCCTGGTGCCTCCTCACTGGGTGCTGTCGCTGGGGCAGCTCAGCCTACCTGCAGTGTGTGCTGGATGGTGCGGGGGAAGTACCGCAGGGTGCAGAGGGGGAAGGTGCCATCCCTGYGGGAGCCGGCCGGCCCCAGAGGCTTGGTCACGGGGGGTACCATGGCCAGCACATTCCCCTGCGTCCCCTCCGTGCCCGAGTCCAGCAGCGGTGTGCGGCAGCGGCGACAGCGGCTCTCCAAATAGGTGCCTGCAGGGAGCCAGGAGCACTGGGGACCCAGGGARCATGTCCAGGGGTTTGGCCCCTTTGCCCTTCCTGGMACTCACGGGCCTCTAGTGTGTCCAGGGCGCTGGCGACACCATCCAGGCGCCGGAAGAAGTTGTCCCCGTAGAGCGTCTCAGTGGCAGGTCCCACCTGGTTCTGGTGAGCTGTCACCCTGACATCAGGGTTCATGCACTGCACAGCTGCTGCGGCCACCACCGACTTCGGCTCCTGCCAGAGCACAGCAGGAGTGGGCAGCAGCCCCCCAGCCCTAGGCAGCCCCTGGGACAGCCAAGATGCCCTTTGGGGAGAGCTTAGTCACTGCCTCACACTGTCTCACCGATATATCTGCTGAGCGGTAGAGAAACTGCCGATGGAGATTGGAGAGGGCAACCGTGTCCATGTCAGTGACAATGAGCTCCCCATCCGGTCCCGTTGCCAACCCCATCATGGCAAAGTTTTTCAGCAGCTCACAGCCGATGGCACCAGCTCCCACCTGCCAGGCAGAGATGCTGCAGCTTCCTGCGTGCCGGTCGGATGCTCCGCAGCCTTCCAGTGCCGTGGCCCCTCCCCTAACTCACCACCAGGTACTTCTGGTGGCCCAGCTTCTCCTGGAAATCGGCCCCGAAGACAGCAATCTGGCCATCGTAGCGAGAGCCTCTCTGCCGGCACAAGGAGCGGAGTGAGCAGAGCAGCCACAGCAGCCCTGGCAGCCGGGAGGGGCTGGACACGGGGTCTCACCGGGGCGCAGTCCGTCTCTGTCAGCTGCGCGGCCCCCGCCAGCGCCAGGCACTCCAGGGCGTCGAAGTACAGCCACTGGTCCAGGGGCAGCAACTTCCCAGTGATGGCCTGGGGCGAGCAGCCCGTCGGCTGGTGGCCAGCGGGGCGCTCCCCCGCACCGCCCCAGGCCCTCCTGCCGCACCAAGCGGGCAGCAAGTGCCCTCTGGTGGCCACCAAACGCCACCGGACACCCATGGCCAGCGGGACCCCGCCCCGCTCACCTTCAGCACCTCCTGGGCCGCCATTGCCCCGACGACGGCGGCCATGGGGCACAGGTCCCCCGCGCTCACACTGGCGAAGGCGCGCACGGTGTCCTCGTCCAGGGGACCCTGCTGCCCTCCCAGGCTCCGCGCCAGCTCCAACACCCGCTCGGCATCCGCCTGCGGGCAGAGGGGACAGGGCAGCCCCCGGCAGGGTGGTGGGGTCGGCAGGGCTGAGTGGGGGCAGGACGGGCACTCACCGGAGCCCTGGGCCGGGGCAGGCGGCCCTTCTCCCTGCGGAAAGCGTGAAGGGCCTGGAAGGCAGCGTGCAGGCTGCGGCCGCGTGGCAGTTCCTCGGGATATTGGATTTTGGGCTTTTCCAGTGCCTGGCACAGGGGCTCCTGCCGGCACAGCACCAGGCATTGGGTGAGCACTTCCCTGGGGCCCGGCACAGCACAGCGCGGCACAGCAGTGCCCCAGCCTGGRTGGCAGCACCATGGGACTGAGGGGGACTTACATGGGAACACTCCTGGGACCGCCGCACCTGCAAAACCAAGCCCCCACAGCGGTAGGGCGAGAAGGAGCTGGTGTCACCAATCTCCAGTCGGAAGTCATCTGGGGACAAGAGGAGCATGGATGTCACGTCATGGTCACTGCTAAGGACCCAGCAAGTTCCTCAACCCCTAGTTAGGGCAGCAGGGACCCCCTGGAGGTCTCACCCAGCACATGGACAGGGATGGGCTTCTGGGTGTTCAGCTCTGTCATYCCCTGCACTCCAGAAAATGTCACCAGGTCACCGTCACGAAAGAGGTGGCCACGGCTGTCTTCTGTCCCCATGCATGTGACCACTCCTGGATTGCCCTGAGGAGGGGAAGGCTATGTGAGAGTGGGGAACTGGACTAGGATGATATAGAGGCATTGGAGGAGGCAGCAATGTTTTGGGAGATCCTGCAGGGGCTGCCCTCCCTCCTACCTGGGAGATRTGCTGCACAGCAGCACACACTGGGTCCCCTTCTGCTGGGTCATCAACGACAAAGTGCTCCCCGAAGTCACAGAACAGCTGCCTGGAGAGGACCGATGGGGTTTTGCCAGAGGAGGTGCCCCACCAAGCTGCCCCAGCACTGCCAGGTGCTGCCTGGGCCGAGCAGTCCTGCCAGCATCATGGGGACATGGGCTGCAGTGCAGGGCTGGGGGCTCTGTGGACAAGGTGACCCAGAGCCAGTGCAGAACCCATGAGACCCCTTACCCCGCCAGCCCCTTGGTGTCAGCCACGATGAAGCAGATGTCCTGGGCATGGCAGAAGTCCCCGATGCGGAGCTGCTCCTCCAGTGGCGACTCAGTCAACACCACCACCTGTGCCAGGTCTGTCAGTGAATGCTGCTGCCACCCCTATGAATGCTGCCCTGGGGGTCCCCAGGGCACAGGGATGCAGGCTCACCTGGAAGGAGGCAAGGAAGGCCTCCGACAGCTCCCCAGTGTGAGCCTTGACCACTACACGGGGGTTCAGCTCAGCCAGGGCCCGCTGGGATGCCTCAGCACGGTTCTGGCCCAGATCGCTCTCCCCCAGGAGGAACTGCAGAATGGAYACATAGTGGGGCACCCCACGGGTCTGGGATGGAGCTCAGCACTGTGGGGTGCTCCACAGACCATGTCTGCACTAGTGAGGGGGCCTCTGCTAAAGACCCTACTTGTGACAATGAAGGACATCCTGTGCCTTATGAGGACACCCAGATTGTATCTGTTACTGGAAGCCCCTCACCCCATACCCGTACCTGCAAGTAGGGTTCCCCCAACTGCACCTGCACCCGTTATTGTGACCTCCACCTACATCCATACCTGGTACTGGGACTCCCACCTGGGTCTGCATCTGTACCAAGACCCCTGCCTGTATCAGTATATGTTATGGGGCCTTCCCATCCATACCTGTGTCTGTTACTGGGACCCCTGTCTGTTCCTATTATCAGGATCCCACCCATATCTGTACCCACTACCGGCATTCTCACTAGTTTCTGTTACGAGATCCTCTCCTGTACCTTGTACAGTGAACCCTCACCGTATCCGTCACCTGAAGTCCCGCCCGGCCCCGCCGGTACCTGGTGGGTGCGGTCGGCGGTGCAGGCAGCACCGCGGTCGTGCAAGACGACAAGCCCGGTCCCCGCCAGCACCAGCGCCGTGGCCACCTGCGCTCCGGTCCCGCGCAGCCCCGACACCAGCACCGCCGCCTCGGGGAGCCGCTTCGCACCGCCGCCCAGCACGTACCTGAGGGTACCGGCGGGGGCCGTCAGCGGGGGCCGGCACCGCTGCCCCGCGCCCTGCCCGTGTCCCTGCCCCGCTCCTGTGCCGGTGCCGTTCCCGTCCCCGGTGCCTGTCCCCGCACTCACAGCTGCCGCGAGTACCGTGACTCCTCTCCGCTTCCCGCCATGACGGCTTCGCCCATAGACGGCCCCTCCGCTCCGCCCTGGGGAGGAGCCATCCGCAAGGCCACGCCCCCCCAACAGACCCGAGGCCACGCCCCCAAACACGGGCAGMGGGCGGGACTGTGAGGCCACGCCCCATAGACCCCAAGAGGCCACGCCCCCAGTGCCCGCCCAGTGCCCGCCGTGAGGGYGGGCTGCAGCTCAGAGGCTCCGCCCCCCGTGCCCCGCGCCGACGGAGGCTCCGCCCCCTCCGGTAGCTTCGCCCCCGGTACCCCGCGGCCATGGCGGCGGTGGCGGCGGGCTGGCAGCCGCCGTGGCGGGCTCTGGCCGCGCTGGGCCGGGAGCTAGCGGCCGAGTGGGCGGCACAAGACGTGCGGGCCGCGCTGTGCCAGTTGCTGCTGCTCTGGCTGGGCCTCAGCCTGCTGGGCGTCCGCCTGGCCTGGCGCGCCTACGGCGGGGCGGTGGCCGCGCTCTGCTACCGCACCGGCCCCGCCGGCCGCCGCTCCCCCGGCACCGCTTCAGGGGCCTCGCCCGCCCGGCCCCGCGCGCACTCCCTGTCCCCCGCCGGCCCGGCGGGACGCAACGGCGCCGCCGAGCGGCACTGCCCGCCCCGGTGAGTCCCGACCGCTACCGGGCCCGAAACCGCTCATCCCCCCGCTGAACCCCCGCGGGCCTGCCCGGCTTCCCCCGCGTCCAGCCAGGGCTCTCGGAGCGCAGCCCGGTGAGCGACCCCTGCCCAGTGTCCCGCAGTGAGTGTCCCCCCAGCTGCACCAGTACAGTCCAGTGGCTGCCCACCTGCCCAGTATGGTCTGGATGGGGTCCTCTGGGACACCAGTCCCCGTTACGCCCCCCAAATGTGGCTTCTGACAAGTGCCCCCCAGTGAGCCCCTCTCCCCAGCTGCACCCCAGACCATTATGCCCCAATAAGTGCCCCCCAGCCCTGTCTGCCCCACACAGACAGGCAAGTGCCTGCCCTGCTGCCGGGGTGCCATGCTGGGTACTGCTCCAGCCATGCTCATGCTGCTTCTCTCTCGCAGGGATGGCCCAGCAGCAGAGCCCATGAAGACGCACCGGGAGTGAGCAGCGCCAGGACTGCCGGCTGGGTACTGCCAACACCATTAAAGTGCTGTGCCCACCTGCTGCCCCTTGCTTTGGCAGCGCCACCATCACCAGAGAGGAGGCTGGGGGAACCGGACAGGGTGTTTATTGGGGCTAGGGCACTGCGTTCGTGGCATGTGCTGGCCTCACTTGGCCATGTAGTACTGGGTGGGCACGAAGGGCATCTTGGTGATGATGGCAGGATGCTGCTTCTTCCGCACCTCAACAGTGAGCTCGGTGCCAGCCCGGCTGTGCGCTGCCTCCACGTAGCCCATGGCGATATTCTTGCCCAGGCAGGGTGAGGGACAGCCACTGGTCACTGTGCCTGGGATGTGAGGATACAGGGAGGTGAGGGGGGCTGGCCAGCCCCTGCCCATGCCATGGCTACAGCTCAGGGTCTTGCCCGTGCCAGCCCCACTGCCCCCACCTACCCACAGGCCTGCCTTCGGGGCCCAGGATAGCCATGTGGGGCCGGATGGCGGGTCCCACCGATGTCAGCCCCACGCGCCTGCGCCTCGGCTTCTCTTTCACTTGTGCCATGATGACAGCAGCACCAGGGAAGTCCATGGCTGCACGCCGGCGCTTCCCTGTGGGGCAGAGAAGGGTGAGGGTTGGTGATGCCTGACTGGACCCCTTGTACCCAGTGGGGTCTGTCTGCCCCAAGGAGGACATGGAGGGGGACCTACCCAAGGTCCACATCAGCCCAGCCTCGGCAGGGGTGACAGTCTCATCGATGTCATTGCCGTAGAGGCAGAGCCCAGCCTCCAGACGCAGGCTGTCCCTGGCTGCCAGCCCTGCCAGCCACACATCGGGGACACCCAGCAGCTTCTCAGCCAGCTCCACTGCCCGCCCCGCGGGCACCGAGATCTGCAGGGGGACATGGGCTGGCTCAGTGGGGCACAGCCTTCCCCTGCATTGTACTGCACAGGGGATGCTGGTACAGCACCCAGGGTACCTCCACGCCATCCTCGCCGGTGTAACCGCAGCGTGTCACCCTGCAGCCCGGCACGCCGAAGACAGTCGTGGTGATGCTATTCATAAAGGAGAGCTTGGCCAGGTCATCTGACAGCCCTGTCTGCAGAACCCGTGCCATGGAGGGACCTGAGGAGGCAGGTGGCTGGAAGATGGCAATGCCCAGGGAAGGGGTGGGATATGGGGCGGATGGTGACATCCACCCGGTGAGGAGCCAGAGGAGGGCAGGCCCACGTGGGAGCCCCACTACCTTGCAGAGCCAGCAGCGCATTGTCTGACACCTCCAGGTGTACGTCACTGCCGGTAGCCTGCAGCTGTGCCGCTCTGTCCTGCCAGGGTGACAGTAGGCTGCTAGCATGGTGGCCAGGCCAGTGCAGGCCCCGCACGTGGCCATGGGTCACYGCACCCTGCGCAACCACGGGTGTCACCAAAATGCAGATGGACTCATTCCCACTGCGTGTCCCCACCTCCCGCGGGGCTCAGGCAGCCCCATACCCTCAAGATGGCCAAGTCCTTGTCAGCGCAGGCGGCGTTGGACACCACATAGAGGTAATCTTCTGACGTGTTTGTGACGATGAGGTCATCTGTGATGCCACCCTTCTCATTGGTGAGCAGCGTCAGGGTGCCCTGCGGGACACAGCCCACGGAAGCATGGGCAGGCTGCCGGGATCCTCCCAGGGCACCCCGGGGACCTCTGAGCCCGCGGGATGCCCGGTGCCCGCCCGATGCCCCGTACCTGTCCTGGCTTCAGCTCGGCGATGTCCCCCACTACCAGGCTCTCCATGAACCTGATGCGGTCCCGGCCGTACACTAGGGTCTGGAAGGGGCCGGGGGAGGGGGGGTGTGAGGTGGTGCGGGTACCCCCCTGCCCCAGCCCCCTCACCCCGACCCCGCTACCTGCAGCATGTGGGAGACGTCGAAGAGGGAGCAGTGGCGGCGGGTGTGCAGGTGTGACTGGAGGTGGCCCTGCCCGTAGTGCAGCGGGAGGGTCCAGCCGGCGAACGGCACCATCCGCCCGCCGCGGGCCCGATGCAGGGCATCCAGCGGCGTCTGCTTCAGCCCCTCCTCCCCGGCCCCGGTCCCCCCGGTCCCTCTCCGCGGCGCCGAGCCCGGAGGGCGGCGGGACAGCGCGGCGCGGCAGCCCGTCCGCAGCATCTTCCTCTTCCTCCTCCCTCCCGGCACGGCTCGGACCGGCCCCGGGGCGCCTGGGACATGGAGTCCGCCCGGCCCTGGCCCCGGCCCCCGCCCCCGGCCCGGCCCGCCCTCGGCACCGCCTCCCCGGGGCTGCCGGCACGGCCACCCCCATCCCCCAGAGACAGGCGGGCACAGGCAGGGCCAACGTAGCAGCTTTTAGTGGTGACCGAGGTGCCCCTTCAGCACACCCGCACCCCTCGGTCCCCCCGCACCCCCTTGCCGTGTGGGGTGGGGGTACGGGCTCTGCCCGCGGGACATGCCCAGGAGAGGCTCACAGGGGTCTCTGGGGCGGCAGCGCCGCCCCTCACTGCCAGGCAGCGCAGAGGGAGTCAGGGAAGGGGCACAGGGAGGGCTTGGGACCCCCTCGGGGCTGCGGGGTCCACGGCCGAGGCGGGAATGCAGGAGTCCACTCAGGCCCCGGGAGCATGGAAGGGGCACTTCTCCCCAGCTGGCACCAGCACCAGCGGGCTCAGGTGTAGGAAAGCAGATTGACATCGTAGCAGCCATCCACCTGGGAACGAGAGTAACTGTCACTGTCTGCACAGCACTGCTGGGATACTCCGACCCCTTCCCACTGCGATCAGCCCCTCTGGAAGGGCTCCCGAGCCATGTGGCAAGGCCGGGGTCCCTGTGAGCAGGGTGGTGGGACTCACGTCRAAGCGCCCGATGCGGGCAGCTGCCTGGCGAGCCCGGATCACCTCTGTCAGCACCCACATTTGCTGGACCTCTGTCGACACCTTTTCTGGATCTGGGAGCTCCTGGAAAGAAGTGGGCACAATGCTGTGGAGCAGGGATAGCCTGAATGGGCTGGACAACCCGTTTTGGGCAGTGGTGTGGCTGGATGGCTGTGCCCCCCAGGGAGCCAGGCACTATCGTGATGGTGTCCACGTTCCCAACATGCCGGTGGTTTTCCAACATGAGGTGAGCAGGGCCCCCTCTAGGAAAACAAGCCACCGGGGACACGGGTGAGTGACCCCGATCCCTGGGTGCTGTGGGGCCGACACAGCCCGTCTCTGCTGGCAGGTGGCCAGGACAAGGACAGAATGCTGATTGCTGGCTAATGATTATAAACCTAATTGCGCAGTCCAGAGTTTCCCAACAGCCTCACTGCGCACTGCTCCCTGGGCTTGGGGGCAGAATCCTGGGCACAGGTGCTGGTTCACCCCAGGAACCTTTAGCCAGGTGGGGTGTGTGGGCTCAGCAGCTCCTCTCCCGGGGCACAGCTCTCACGGGGGCACAGCTCTGTCGCACTGGGCTGAGGAGTGCCTCATGCTGATGCTGGGAGGAGTCAATCTCAGAGCAACCTTTGGCTTCTGCCCTGGACGTGCGTTACCAAGGAGAACGTGACCCAAGCTATCAGCAAGGGGCTGGGGTGCCCTCCCCAAGTTGTCACACAGCTGGGCAAGGATTGGGAACAGCAGCCTCACTGCTGGTGCAGTGTGAGCACAGTAGCAGGGAAGCCCAGTAGCAGAACTGCCCCGGCAGTTCTGGGTGATGTGCCACTCTCCCGCAGGCAGCACCTCCAGCTGATTCAGCAGGCTCCCATGGGCAAGCYGGCTCCCATCCTGGCCCTGCTCTGCCTGGACTTTGCCCATCAAAGCCACCAGCCAGGCAGATGTGGCTGGCAATCTGTAAACACGTGCCGTGGCTGTGAGCCCCTCTTCCCCTTGTATTGTCCTGGCTAGGCAACATGCACCTCAGAGCACACCCTGTGCAAAGTGCTGGGAACCAGCCCTGTCCCCACACATCCCACACACCACTGAGCGATGCTGTGCACCCACTGCTCATGTTCCTGTTCCCACACATCCCACCCACCACTCCCACAGCGATATCCTCATCCCTGTCCCCATATGTCCCACTTGCCACTGTACCATGCTGTGCACCCACTGCTCCCACAGGGATGTTCTTGTTCCTGTCCCCATACAGTCGCATCCCACCTGCCGGCTGAGTGACACTGTGCACCCACTGCTCCCCTGGGGACATTTGTGTCCCCAGACTAAAGGGCAGATAGACTTAAGTGTCACCTCAAATAGCATATCCCCATGGAGATATTTTTCTTTTTAGCACTGCAAACTACTTCCAACACAAGGCGGGTTATTTCAGGGCTCCACAGCTATTCCTGGTGGAAGCCTGGAGCCAACAAGGCAGGCATGGGCAGTCTCCYGAAGGATGCTCATGGCTGGCACCCCATAGAAGTCCCTCCTTCCCCCAATACCTCAGCAGTGATTACTCACCCCATGTAGGCTGGCTGGCTGCTCTGGAGGGGTTAGCTGGGAGAGCCAAGAGGGGAAATCCTTCTGAGGACTCTGAAAGAGATCCAGAGGGTCACAAAGGGTGTTCCCAACCTTACCTCCATCCTTCACACCAGGCAGCACGCTGGGGTTTAGAGCCCACCCCTAGTGATATTGCTATAGATGTGTCACTTTACTATCCTTGAAGAGAATTTTGCAGGGAATTCTCTGTTTTGAGTGGTTGTCAGAGCACTCCAGCACCACTGGAGCACAAGTGTCCCAGCAAAGGAAGAGGACTTGGACCCACACCCCTGTGTGTGTTCCCAGAGCTGTGGGGGCAAATGCCAAGTACAGAGCTGGGGACAGTGGCTTGTCCTGGCCCCCTGCCCATGCCTGGCAGTGGGGTAGTTCTGACATCGCTCACCTTCTGTCCAGGAGGGAAAATCTGCAGGTCCTCGATGGTGAAGTGGAGCCAGACTGGGGAGGGCTGTCGCAGGATGAACCGCATTGCTGTCACCTGGTCCATGTCACACAGCATCTGCAGGGCAAGGGCTGGGCAGTGTAACCACAGCGGCTGGCACTGACTGGGGAAGGTTTTGGTACATCCTCCTAACATCCCCAACCCACCCCACATGGAAGGAGCCCAAGGGAAGCATCATCCTGTAAGGGCTGGCTGGGCTGAGCAGGGCACAGGGACCCTCACAGCCTTTGGGGGTCAGTGGAGCATCAGCACTAGACCCCCAGGACCAGGAGCCATCCTGGTGTACGGGCAAAGAGGAGTGAGTCCAAAAGGGTCCATCCGAATGTGCTGACCTGGTGCCGGTGGAGGCAGAAATAGTCCTGGGAGCCCTCCTCGGTGTGCGGGCAGGGCATCAGGCACAGGTCACGCAGGCAGSTCACCCAGCGCCGGGACCCGCCGGGGCCGGGCCGCTGCACTCGCACGCTCAGGAACGCCGTGTAGAAGTTCCTGAACACGATCTCCTGCACCTGCGGGACCAGCGGCCTCAGCCCCATAGCGACATCCCGCCAGAGAGGTACCGGCATCCCCACCGATATCGATGCCGCCATCCGCCCCCCAGTACTGCGACGGGCACCGCCAATCCCCGTCCCATTGCGGGACCGGCACGCCCCCCATACCCGTACTAGCACAACCCCATATCGGGACCCGCACCGGCATCCCCCACTTTACTGGGACGGGCACTGCATCCCCGGCATCCCGCCCAGCATCCCCGCCCAGCTTCGGTAAGGGTGGTACCCCAGCATCGGCATCCGCCCGCTACCGGCACCGCCCCCGGTAACCCCTCCACCCCGAGACCGCCCCTCACATCTTCCCCCACACCGCCCAGGGCATCCCTTCTGCCCTGGGACCGCCCCCGGCATCGCCCCACACCGGCACCGGCATCCCCACCCACCCCGCTCCCGCTGCTGCCCCCGGCACCCCGCAACCCGCCCCGGAACCGACACCACACCCGACCCCGACTCTCCTGGCCCCGCACCGCCCCCGGCACGGCCCCTGTCTTCCCCCGGGACCACCCCGGCACAACCCCCGCCGGTCCCGCCCCCGGCATCCCCCCGTGACCCCATGGGACCATGTCGGTACCCCCTCGCAGGTACCGCCGCGGGCGCGGCCGCACTCACATCGGCGGCAGCGCCGCGAGGGAAGCGGAGGTCGATGACGGCCACGCCGGGCCGTGCGGGCTCGGCGCCCCCCGCCAGCTGCAGCGGGGTGGCGGGGCGGGGGGCGCAGGGCAGCGGGGAGCGGCCCGGCCCGGCGGGTGGACCCGGCCCCGCCGCTCCCGACATGGCGGCGCCGCGCGGCC